AAACATGGGCATAGTAACAATATTTTTATACTACATTTATCCATTTTAAATACACTAACCTCACTCCTTTGTAACAACTAAGGCAAAAATGTCATTAATTCAGAAAATCTTTTCAGGACACCACCTTGATGTTTCGGGACCCCATTTTGGGAAACACTGTTGTATAATATACCACAAAGTGATACTTGAGTAAAATTACAAGGATCTTACTATAAAATTACTTTGGTAAATTTAAAGTCTCCTTTAAGAAAAATACTTGATTAAAAGACTCAAGTATTTGACATTTACTGTATTTAGGTTATCAAAAGTAAATTTCTGATATAAAATGTACTTATATATTAAAAGTAAAAGTGAGTGGTTAGATTTTCCAACATGACATTTATTGGGGGTTGAAATGATGACAAGCCAGAATGAAAGAGGAGTAACAAGCTTATTTATTACTCCAGTAAAGTATACATAACCAAAATTTCTACTCAAGTAAAATAACAAAGTATGTACTAAGTTATTTTACACCTCTGATGTGTTCTGTGAGGGTTTATTCAAACTGTGTTGTTCCAACTATTGCAGTTCTTCCAGAGTTTAGATATAAATCGGGGAGGAGAACATGTGTTCCTGCTGCATTAATAACTGGGCGTGGAGAGCTGAAGATTGAGCTGATAATCCCACTAATCCTAAAGTCTTAAATTGCCCATACTCAGTCCCAATGGGCCCAACACTTGGGTGCACTTACACAGAATTCCAGGCAAGCTGATGCTCCAATTAGTCCTCATCAGGCTTTCTTACATGGACGCAGAGTGATTCTGGGCCAGGAGCGGCCCCTCAGAGAGCCACCTCACCAAGAGAGGARGAGGAGGTGGGGAAAAAAGACACTGCGGCGTATTTATAGAAAAATGAGGCCTCACAATAGCCTTTTTTGGAGACCGAATTATTAAGGAACCGAGGTGCCTGGGTGCACGTGTCCCAGTTTTCTGATTAACAGTGTGCAAGCTGGCTCGCCTCAGGATGAATCAGGGCTGAGGCGCAGAGCTAACTCTGACACACTCGCTTCTCTGTGCAGACTCACGCCTTTTTTTTTTTCACCAGGAAGCTGCTGGGGTTTTAGGATGGAGGAATGGGGCAATAATTTTAGACTCTCAAGTCCTCTTTCTGACTTTAAGCTTGTGGGATTTGTTTTGTGAGTTTTTCTTTCTTCTTCTTCTTCTTCTTCTTTTTTTTTTGCGTGGACAAAGTGGTTAATAGGCTGCCTAATGACAAACAAGATGAAGAAGTTTTTGCAGAACAAAAAGGGCAGGTACTCTTTTCGGCAGAACAAACGGGGCCCTCGGTGTCCATCTAAAGATTTCTGTAAGTTTATTTTTTTAATCAGCTGTGTGAATCCTGCTGCTTWGGACAAAACTAGCCACATCAACATTTTTGTAAATCTGTGTTTCATGTTAATAATGATTTGTAACTTTGTTGCATTTAGGTAAATTGTGCTTTAAGATCCTGCATGTCCTTCTACAACCTTTATTTATTTGCATTATTTGTCAAAAATATGTATTTATTTTATTCACCAGTACCTGTTAGGACTCATGGATGCAGCCTCCGGTGCTCTCTTGTCCTTCATCACATAATTACCATTCAGCGGGAAAAGATTCGGCTCTGTGCTCATTTCTGCGGGAACTTTTCTCTTTTAATCTAATTAAGGTCACAATCTCTACAAAGCCTTTTATTTGATTGGCTGGGATGGAGTTTATGAACCAGGTCAGGGAGTGTGTGTCACGGTTCAGGGTAGAGGGTTACAACCAGAGACGAGAGAGATCACTGGAGGAAGGAGACAGGAAGCAGAGACAGAGTTTCATCTTTTTTAAGTCCAGCTGGTTTATTTTAAACGTTCCTTTTTCATAATGGAGTTACATTTAAGTGAATGGGCTACAATGGGTAGGTTGTTTACTTTTAATGGGTGCCTATTTTATTTGATATTTTYCTGCTAGTATTTTCTTTCGTACACTTTTTAGCTTCTATTTCAGCAAACTTTCAGCTGTAATCGAGTCGTTCAGCTCATTCTGGTGTGAATGTTCTGACTTTCTGGGTTTTGCCATTTTCATACTTTTTAAAATAATTTGGAGTTTGGTAGATTGGTGGTCAGTTCTGGGGTCTTGTAATCAATACACATTTTAAAATATTTAACAAATTTCAAAACAAATCTCTCAAAATACATAAAAAACTATTTTCAGCTTATTTAAAGCTTACTACTTAGCTGCAGTTTATAACAAATTTTATGATTAATTGTTCTGCTAATCTAAGCTTTAGAATGCAATTAGCTATTTTTAGCTGCTGTTTTGAAAAATTTCTATATTGTTTTTCTCACTTTTGTATCTGTTTTACTGATTGTTTTTGCTAATTTCACCATCTGTTTAGCTAGTTTGAACATCCACTCTTTTTATTTTTGGCAGTACGATGGCTCAGAGGTTAGCACTGATGCCTCACAGCAAGAAAGTCCTGGGTTCGAGCCCCGGTTCAGACCTGGAGTCTTTCTGTTAGCTTGTTGTCCTCCTGCTTTCGTGGGTTTTCTCCGGTTTCCTCCCACAGACCAAAAACATTCATGTTAGGCTGCTTTCAGGCCTCCCTGGCAAAAGAGATCTCTGAGGGATTTGCCTGGTTAAATAAAAGTTAGTTAATAAATAAAGGTTAATACATAAAT